ACCCTTCATTCGATTTCCAGTCAAATGGTCATTAAGTACATGTTATGCCTTTTTCAGGAGATATTTTAGAGGAGATTAGATATATAATAATCACTTTCATAAGGAAGAAGAAAGTCATAGGAAAATGAGTCAGAAACCAGGAGTTTCCAAAACAGAAAATGGGACTCTTAACAACCACCTGAAAGAACTGGCAGACACAAAACTGTCCTCTTTAAGAAGAAACCAAGCTCCATTCTTGCTTCCACAGGTGTTTCTGTCCATCCTTTCACTGTGAGAAGACAACTCAGCGCTATGGGTCTGAAAGGATGTGTAGCTGTCAAGAAGCCTCACTGAGAAAAGGAGACAGACACGTCAAACAAAGAAGCTGCTGGTGGTTCTTGCCCTTTCCTGACTCTGAAAAACAGACTATTACTTCATGACCCTTTTGACAAGAAATTAAAAGAATGAAAGGTGGTCTCTGACTTTTGCACAGCGCCGTATCTGTTCCCAATGTTCCTCTGTAACATCAGCACTGTTGTAAATGCCCATGTGCTGTTGAGCAACTCAGTTCAATTCATGTGATTTCAATTCTAACTGTGCATCTAAATATGCAGAGCACAGATCAGCAACAGCAGCGCCACACCAGCTGCTCGAGTCAATGACCTAAAGTAAGAGTGTGTGTGTGTGTGTGTGTGTGCGTGTGTGTGCGTGTGTGTGCGTGTGTGTGCGCGGTGAGCTGTGAGCCATGTGTGGGGTGTCACATCATGCCACACTCTGGGTGGCAGTGGTGGGCGACCACCAGCGTTTACAGTCACTATCAACGTGACAAAGTAATCACCCACATTTATCACTGTCCATACAAAATAAATAATAAATAGTTATAAAAAATTAAAAATAAAAAAACAAGTTTTATGTTTGTATGTTTTTGTCTGTCCTTCTCTCTCTCTCTCTCTCTGTCTCTCTCTCTCACTACATATATATATATATATATATATACATATATATATACATATATGCTGCTGTCAGAACAAAACTCTGTTCACACACACACACACACACATACATATATATATATATATATATATATATATATATATATATATATATATATATATATTTATGTCAAAAGTGTCAGTAGTGTTCACTGTATGAAGCTGCACTTTGCTCTGTTCTGTAATAGGCCACTGTAGTCCACTCAGTGCCTTCTCTGGACTGCAGTGTGTGCTCAGTACTGGTGTTGAGGTTGGGCCACACTGGGCGCATTTAACGACACACTGAATCACTGCTGAGAGAAATGCTCACAAAACATCTGTCACATTTATAACACATACACCATCACCGGTTTAGATACACTCATATTATAACTGATATGTTTTAAAGATCACTCATCATTACTGCAGATACACTGAGTCATAAAATGTTCATTGTCTTTAAATAAAGCTTCATGTTCTGTTGATTACTGCAGAATGAATGGGGCTTATATGTACATGTATATGTACATGTACATGTATATGTATATGTATATGTATATGTATATGTACATGTATACTTTGTTAGAACTTTGTATTTGAAATTATGTTAAAAAATGGAAATACAATGTTTTTATCACAACAGTGACCATATGTATGTATATACAATATATATGTTATTAATGTATTATATGTATATATGTATATGCTGTTTGTGTGTATACTATCTTTCAAACATTTGGGGTCTCTTGTTATTACTAATCGCTGTTTTCTTATTCAACAATACATTAACGCAGTGTAGACTGAAATATTGTAATACAGACACCAGAAGGCATTTTTTTTGAATGATAATATTCTTGTATAAATCTCTTATTTATCTAATGTCTTTGAGATTTGATACACTTTTGCAATATGAGGGATTTTAGATATTAATTTCATTATAAAGTCATTCTGAATGTTATACAGCTTTCTCAGTGGTTCTGAAATCATTTACAGCTCTGTTTATCTTTCTGGATACAGATAATATTTCTTCAATTTTACAGCTTCATACTTATGACTTAAAAACTATAATGTTGTAGCATATTAGCATCATATTAGAAGCACTTTATGCATGGAAATGTGACAAAATTGATTCTATATTATTGAAACTGTGATTACAAACTTATGAACAATATATGTATACGTATATGAATATGTATAAGTATATGTAAAAGTATATTGTTGCTGTCCAAAGCAAAACCAGTACATCCAAAATGGCAACTTTACATAAGAGGCAAAAAAAATGTTCTTTACTTTTAATGTAAGTTAATGTAAAGAGGTTTCATTCTGTTGGTTGGAGCATATCTGTTGGTTAATGCATTATGACATTTTCACACAGTGTAAAGAGCAGCTGATTTTCTCAAAGCATGTCAAAGAAATGAAAAACAATTTCAGTTTAGTATGAAGCTCAGTTTAGTATTGAAGTGGCCTTAAAGCAGATGTAATCTGGAGAGCATGCAGTGTGTTTTCTCTGTACTAATAAACTCAGACTTATTCTCCTTACAGGCATGAGTATTGCACATGTTCCAATGTGAGAACAACAGAAAACAGTCCGCAGGATGAACGTCATTTTCAGCGTTGTCGAGTGATAATATCTGCTGTGGAGTATGATTTAAACTGCACCTCTCACACTTTTAACATGAGCATCTGAGGACAGACTACAGCTTGCGAGTGCTCACAGGAACAAACAAGTATATTTAAAACTACTACAGGAACTGAATTTGGAAGCAATTACAACAACGGCAACTGTGGTCGTTTTGAAATAAGTCATTTGCTCGTGATCAAATAGAAATGAAACATGTGCTTTTTGATTAAATAGAATGCTGGAAGGACATCGGCACCCCTTCCGTTACACTTAGAGTGGGCGTTTAGAAAGTAAGAAAGAAAGAAAGAAAGAAAGAAAGAAAGAAAGGAAGAAAGAAAGAAAGATTGATTTATATAATCTTCCCCTTAGGAATAGATCAATATGACATTAAGCTGTGTAGTAGCTTTCTATAGAAGATGGGATGGGAGTATATTCAAGTTTTAAAAATATGAAATATATTAATATGCCACATAAAACATAGCATTCCATAGTACATACATAAGAAAGAAAGAAAGAAAGAAAGAAAGAAAGAAAGAGCAGGTAATATAATCTTCCCATTCAGAAATTTACCTTAAATATATATTTTACATATTTTTGAGATTTATTCAACTAATTCAAAAACCCTGTGCCAAGTTAATTCTATAATAGCTGCATGTTATGTTTCCATTGTAGATAGATGGAAAGAAAGAAAGAAAGAAAGAAAGAAAGAAAGAAAGAAAGAAAGAAAGAAAGAATCATGCACTGTGATCTACCAACTGATAAATCTACCACACTAAATATTTGATATATTACGATAAATGCGACTGATTCGTTTAGCACTAATACTAATATGCCAGGTTAATTCACTGTTAGCTCTGTAGCTCTTTATCTCTAATACTGCCTCATTGAGCACTAGCAGTAATGTAGAGCCAAACAAAGCAACACATTACTGAAGACTGATGTGTTTGTTAATAATAATAGACATTTATAAACATTAGCTTCTTACTCAGCAGTTGAGTAGCATGTGAGTTATGTTTCAGGTATGTTCATGTTTGAGTCAAGCTAGAAAAAAATAAACCTCTACAAATGACATTTTTCATAAAATGGCCAATACATGACTTATTAAACATACACAGTAACTAACGCTTTTTCACCATTTTTAATGTTGTCAATGAAATGCATTTTCACTCACAGCCACTCGGTATATCATCACAAAAGTGAGTAACGCTGCCTGCATTTCTTTGTTTACTGCTGGAATGCAGACGGAAACCCTTTGGCATCCGTGCCCTTCAATGATAGGGCCATAATTGCCCTAAAGAGCATTAGCATCCAGTCCAGCAGACTTAAAATATCACCTCCCTTCAAAGTCTCCTTATGGTTAACCAAACTAATTCCACAATATTACAGTTCACAATAGTACACAACAGCCCTGACTGAGACGCAGTATCAAAATTCAATAAATATGAGGATGCACTCTTTCCTGACAGCGTTACTTCAAGTTTTACACAGTGAAATTTCACCAAACTTCAAGATTGTTTTACATAAAATAAGGTTTTTGATTAAGCTTCACCAATTCTGACTTCAAGTCCTCAATGAAACAGCTGGAATAACGGTTCCCGTTTCAGTTCTGCTTTATTTCCCCAACTCCGTGTGACGTTCGGCCATAATTCTGAGTCATAACCCGAGAAGGAAGATTTTGAAAAAAATGACTGGACGAATGCCATTAAAGCAGACACGATCCGTTCTCACAATTTTATTAGAGTTTGATGCGACCGAAGGCGTAAGGATTTCAGTACAGGGACCGTAACTGTCTTACCCTCCAGAACCTCCTCGATGAGTCACGTTTAAGAACCCCATGGGTGAAAGAAAAAATCCCAAAAGAGAGAGATAGATAGCTCAATCAGATTGTTAATGATAACTCACAGACAAGACCGTTCCTCTAAAAAGTGCATTCACAAACATGACAAATCTCAAATCAGGATATCCTTTTTTCATGTTACAAAATATGCATACCAGTTTTACTCTATACACAATAGGTTTCTGTATATCTCTGTCTCTTTTCTTTACAAAGGTTAAAAGCAAGTCTGTAAAGGCAGCAGCTTTTGATATCCTAGCCTTTTTTTTCTCATCGTGTACCAGGTCAGTTACACCTATGTGTGCTAGATATCCAAATAAAACTTCACAATGTATTTGCATTGGTCAGATGAACGTGACATTTTTGTCTTTATTAAAAGAGACAGCTGTAATAGAAGTCTAACGTTTAGAAAAGAAAAGGTCAATAAAATGTTGGGGCCATTAAATATATTTTCTTATACCCGCTTCTTGTGAATATTATAAATACTAAAGACACTGGACATTAAGATAAGACAATGCCAAGAGACTAAATGCAAAGATTAAAATAGTTCAAACTTTTTTTTTTCCATCAAGTATCTACTTCATGAGTGAAAATAATAATAATAATAATAATAATAAGCGCGCACTACGACGATGTACTTCGTTTCACCTATTCCCCTTTCTTGTACCTCAAAACATACACTGTAGGCAGGTAAACATTATTCAGTTTATCCACATAAAGATTGCTCTTCATTTCTTTTTTTTCTCTTTTTACAGTTTTAGAGTCTTACCCATAACAACTGAGTGAAGATATTCTTTTTTTTGTGACATAATCCTCAAAAGCAGTCAAATGTACTGAGAAGAACCAATAAGTACCATGCAAATCTTGCAAGACAACAGATTCTCAAACATGAGACAGTTTTTTCTTCAGGTGAAACAGGAGAAATGGGAGGATGGGGAAATACCTCTACTCAATACCGAATACTATAGATCCAAAACCAAACAGAATATCAAACTTCAGCTGTACATAATATAGTACATAAGAGACCAAACTGGATAAAGTGTAACTTTCCATGTCTTAACTCGGTTCTCGGTTGTGAGTCTCTCCACGTTTTCTCCTCCAATGAAAGCTCGTTAATTGATCCCAATCTCTTTGCTGTCCTCCAAAAACCTGGAGAAAGGACGTCCAGTTCCCACTTCTAGGCTAGTCTTCTCGAGGCCAGTCATTGGGGGGCTGCTCCCAGTGCGCGCTCTCTCCATGCCCCCCGACATGCTCCCTAGTGAGGGGATGCCGCTCCCGCCGAGGCTGACAGGCAGCGGAGGAATACCCCCGTTCTGAATGACGGAAATCTCGTTGTTCTTCATGGCCAAGCCGTTGGTGATAGCCGCCGCGTACTGGTTCCAAAATCCTGGGTCTACGTTCATTGCCCGTGCTGCCAGGTCTTTCTGGAACATCTCGCTGAATTTCATTGCATCACCACCCAGCAGGGCCATGGGGTTCTCCACCGAGAGACGACGCCCCCTCCTAGCTGGGGCATTGTTCCACATGTGGGTGCCCATGTGGACCTGCGGTTAGAGGAGAAATACGAATAAATAACTGCTCAATACTTTACTTTATAAAAGTAAAAAAAACTTTAAGCAATTCAATATTTATATAACAAGTTATTGTAGAAATTCTCTCTTAACTGTCTTATTAAATAGAATATGTAGTAAATAATAGATTATATGAAAATATTTAATTTCTGATACTAATAATTATCTAGATTATATCATATTTTTTATTTCTGTAATAAAACATCTTGTGAATTTACTTATATGTGTATGTAGTTAATTTTGTAGGAGTAATTTTTATACTCATTCTCTGGTTTTGCAATATCTGAATATTCTTCACTTTATTTGTGGAGATTCAATATTTTATTGATAGATGTCTAAAATAAATTGTGAGAAAATAAATAGTAAATTGAAGTGAATTTATGAAGTAATATAAAAGTTTACTAGTTTATATATGTACTTAAATTTATTGTGAATAGCAAAATTTTACATGTTAATAGCAACATGTAAAGCATATTAAAAATCCATATAACTTAGTAATTTAAAGACTTTAATCATAGATAAAACATGTTATTGAGTTTTTCCTACTACAAGGATTCTGTCATTATTTATTTTATAAAGCCAACATTTTTCATTTTTGATATTACTAATTATCACTAAATTATGTAGATTCCATAAAATTATAGTAGCCAGATACAATTGTAAAGATGTAAATGCTTAAAAAATGTAAATTTATACAGAATATATATTCCAAAAGCTGTTGGTTTAAAGAGCTGTTTTTAATATAAAGAAAAATATCTTTCAGCACTCATATGCTGAAAAAATCTCATCTGGCCTTACCTTCAGATTGCCCTTTGTGGTGAAAGCTCTGCCACAGATGGAGCAGGCGAAGGGTTTTTCTCCCGTATGTGTGCGCTCGTGGATCTGCAGGGCGCTGGCTGAGGAGAAGTTTTTCCCGCAGGACTGGCAGTTGTGCTGCTTGGGGGTCCGGCGGGGTGGAGGTGGTGCCAGCATCGGGGTGAGGTTAGGGCTCATTGTTGTCTGAGGCGTTGCAGCAGGTACCTGAAGGCTCATGTGCAAGTGTGAGCTCTCACTCAAGGACAGCGGCTTGCTATGCCCATTCATCTCAAGTTTGACCATGCTTGGTGCCGAGCTCATCAAGCTGGGAGCACTTAATCCTAAACCAGAGGAAACAGAAAAATAAGAAATGAAAAGCTGCCCTTCTGATTCATTTCTTATTTGAATAAACACATTATTTAATAGCATTTGCAGGAAAATATTCCTTTTAAAGTTCCATTATAATTATATTATTATACAGAAGTAATGATAACAAAATTATAATTAACATATTATAATTATATAATTATTGCATTTGCAGAAAGGATCTCTTGATAAATCCTACACCTACCCCTGTCTCTACCCAGGAACAGCATGCTGAATTGATTCTCCTCCTTAACGTAAGGCCTAATTGGCTGGGCAGCTGTGAGGTCTAGGGCTCCAGTGTGTTCTGCTGGTACAGAACCTGGAGAGGGAGTCTCTGATTTCTCAGACTTTACGGTTGCTGTTGCCGTGCTGGATTCCTGGGCATCATCGGCAGCGTTGCTGCTGCTGTTGTTGGCCAGCCCTGGAGACCTGGAGCGATGGCTCTCAGACTGGCTGTGAGCAGGAGAGAGAGCCTGCATGGAGGCTGATGAGTCGGACAGGGCCGGACTCCCCACACTGTGATTCTCTAAGTCTCCCACAGCAGAAGATGAGTCAGTGGCAAGCATGTCGCTGCTTTCTCCACCAACCCCACTCCCATTTTCAGAGGGCTTCAGGCTAAAGGCGCGGGTCATGTTTGCTGTTGAGTCAATCATCTTCATTTGATTCTCCAAAGCAGCAATGCTAGAGATGACAGAAGTTGGGGGAGAGCTGCTAGGGGACATCTCTCCATATGAAAGTGTTGGTTTGGATGGGTCCAATTCTCCATCTTTCATATCTGGCTCGTCCTCCATGGCCTGCTCCATCTCGTCAATCAGCTCGTCATCATAGTTGCTCATGTTGTCTAAGCTCTTCTCATCAAAGGAAAAATCCGTGTCCATTTCCTGAAAACCCTCGGGCAGAGGCGTGTTTGGAATCTGACCCCCCATGTGCATGCGGATGTGCTGCTGCAACACCACGGCATTAGTGAACTTTCTTCTGACAAATAGGACAAGAGTGCTGCACTCGTAAAGGGGGTTTGGACCTGTGAACTCCAAAGTGTGTTTTCAAGTTGCCCTTGGTAGTGAAAGCACGACCGCATATTTTGCATTTGAAGGGCCTCTCGCCAGTGTGGGTACGGTAGTGCATCTTGAGGGCACTCTGACAGCTGAGCACACGATGGCAAATAACACACTGGTTAGGGTCTGTCATCTTCTTGTCAATGTTCTCCACCAGCTGCTGCAGCTTTGAGGTCTCTGATGTTTGCATAGAGTCCAAGAGGCCACCAAAAGGAAACTTGGCTTTGAACTGATCTGAGATCATTGGGAGGGACGGATGAGAGGCAGATGATGGAGGGGTCACTGAGTCTGTGATTTGAGTGGTGGTGGTGGTTGTGGTAGTGACAGTGGCTGATAACACAACCTGGGTCATAGTGGTGGTGGATAAGCTGGTCTCCCCAGGCCTGGTGGTGCAGTTGGGTGGCAAATGAATTCCCTCTGGCTTCAAAACTGGGGGTACATCACCCCCTATATTGGGCTGTGGAGAGGCTGAAGTGAGGGTCGTGCTGGCTTCAGTACTGAGGACATTGGGCGACAGGGATGCGCACTCACTTGATGGTGGTGACGGTCTCTGAGGTGACCTGTTAATGGGGGTGAGGCTAGGTGAATCTCCATAGCCTCCGATCATGCTGGGCAGGGTTGGGGGAAGCTGCAGCCCAACCGAAGTTGGGACAGTGGACAAAACAGGTTTGCTGTCCAGCCATGTGGTAACAGGCTTCTCCGGTGGCAAAGACATGCCATAAGGAATACCTGAGCTGGTTGGCACATTGTCCAGATACTCAGGAACCGGATAGGGATTCATTGGAATGTGTGGATACTTTTCTTTGTGTCTCTGAAAATGAACTTTCAAGTTCCCTTTTGTAGAGAAGCGATTGCCACAGATGTTGCACTTGAAAGGTCTTTCACCAGTATGGGAGCGAAGGTGTATTTGGAGAGCACTGTCACTTCCAAACACCTTGGCGCAAAACCTGCACTTATGTTTGAAGAAGGGGTCATCTGAGCTAGGCTTGGTGTCAAATACAGAGACGTTAGGAGGCTTTCCTTTGCGGTGCTTCATTAGGGCAGAAAGAGGATCAAGTGCGTTGGCTGTAGCTGCAATACTGGCCAGTGGGTTGGGAAAGATGACACTACTTGAGGAACTATGAGGTATCAGGGGGAGGTTTGAGGGGGAGCTCAGCAGACTGCCGTGGGTCAGTGTCGGAGGACTTGAGGTGTTTCTCGGGAGGGAAACACTGCTACTGATACCAGCTCCAGCACTACTGCTGCTGTTGCTGCTGCTGCTAGTGACTGAACTCGGTGGCAGCAAGGAAGGAACTACACTACAGCTTGATGGTGGATATGAGGAATTTGTTGAGGTGTTGCTGTTCATTACAGAGCTTGACAACTGGCTGCCTGTCTGTGACACATGAGAGTGACTTCCTTCCAAAGCAGAGGACAACGAGGCTGGCCCCTGGCCATTTAAAGTGGGCGGCACCCTGATAGGCAGTTGGTGGACAGGTGGTGTAATGAACCCATGCAGCTGGAGCTGACTGGAGATAGTGGGAAGGCCAGTGGACGGAGCTGCCTGTGAGGCAGCATTTGTATTATGGTGTGCGTGATGGTTGAGTGCTGACTGCGAAGGGGCTTGCCTGTTCATTAGCGCCACCTGGCTGCGAATCTGTTCTATCAGCTGGAGCTGGTGGATTTGCTGCTGCTGCAAAGCCATCAACTGGTCCAGTATCATAGGGATGGCCATTGTGGATACGCCGCTGGCTACTGCTCCACGGAAGCTTTGGGAGAACTGTGCCACAGCCACTCGGGTCCCATGCAGCGTCTCCAATGTGACGTTTGTGCTGGGCATGCTGTATCCTGCCCCAGATGGGTGGGCTGTGTCCTCAAGCTGAGGTAGGCTGACATCTGGGTCCGGTGATGCTTCCGGATCTTCAGGGTCCATTAGTTTCTCAGGAGACAGTTCCACTTCCATAGGCTCATCTTCCTTGTCCAGGGTGGCTGCACGCTCTAAAGTCATCTCAGTCCCCTCGTCAGCTTCGACTGGTGTGTGACGGCCCTCTGCTGCCTCCTCACTGAGCGCAGGCTCACTCGGGCAGCTAGGCACAGGTGAGGGCTCGGCCGGATACTCCCGCGCTGGATCTGGTGTGCCCTCATTCTCGTTGACAATAAGCACAAGCGGGTTCTTGGTGCAGCTCTTCAGATGCTCGCAGAAATCAGACCACTTGAAGAACTCCGCACAGCACTTCTCACACACGTGGGTCTCCTCGCTCCCGCTGCGGCTCTCGTTACCGCTGTCGGCATCGTCCAAAACCTCGCCTGAGACTGAGAGGAGGAGGGAAAGGGGGAGAGCACAGAATAAATGAATAAATAATGCACAGACATTCAACACATTTTTCAGCACAACACCTTGGCAAAGATTTAACCTTTAATTCTTTTTTTCCCCCCCTTACCATGGCTAAAATCAATATTCTCTTTTTTCTATTCTGAACAAATCGTCCTAGTTCACCAATTCTCAAGGCCCAGTTTTGTGCGTACCACTCCTCTCCATATAGCCAGCTAATAATTTTCTTTGTGCAATCCATCAAATTATGAGGGCCTATCAATTGTGGATACTGCCGCTTAATGAAATTCCATACAAGCTATTGATTTCCAATATTTTCATACAATTCACAGCTGCCTCGCCTGTTGAGTACAAATCAGGTCTTTGATGGCCCCATTAGGATTCCCCTCTGCTATCAAGCCACCTCATTTCCACCTGAATTTCAAATGCCTAAGCCTCTTCATTTAGCATTGCTAGGGTAACGTGCAACCTCTGCATTTCATCCATTTGATAGATTTAACCTTCAACAAAGTCCAACCACTCATCAGCGCAATAACAGCTTTCTGACAGAAATGATGGCTGTTACTTGCCTTCATAATTAAGGCACTGCCTTTTTTTTTCTTTTTTCAAAACATGTTTTTCATACTTGTAAACAGCAAGAAAAATAGTGGCTAAACATTAAGAAAAAGCACAATCGTTTCACTATCATTTACCTCCTAAATATATGCCCTCACTACATGAGAAACATGCAGTAATTCAGTGTTGCAGTATGTATTCTTTCTCTTTCTTTTCTTTCTTTTCTCATGCCTTTCATCATCTACTGTCTCTTTCGTCCTCCCTGCACCAGCAAATTACATGGTTCTGCCATAGCAGCAGTGCCTCTGATTAGTTACATATGTTCAGTCACAGTTGTTAGAAGCCACTTCCTCTTCCGCATATAGCTGTCATGTGGCAGCAGCGCGGGATATGCTTTCCAATCAGTGTCCTAATTCACACCTGATCAAACCGTGAAAAACAGCCTACACACCAGTTTACTTTTTCATACATCTTCATGAAAGTGGGCCAGGACCTGTGCTTGCGTGTTTGTACGTAGTGTGGTGTATGTTAATTATCTCTCTGTGGTGTGTGTCTGCTACTTTGTTACATGGAAAACTATGTGACTGCTGCACTTCAGAGACCTTGCCAGAAGACGTGATTAGACGAGTGAGAGTAAGAAGAGATTTTTTTTTTCTCACTGCCCATGCAGTTCTCTGACAACGTTAGCTTTAACGGATTGATGGGTCGTAACGAGAGATGATTGGCCTAATGAAAAAGCATATGCTTCTCGTCTAACAATATAACTTAATTATTTGTGACGACATATTCAAATTTTATAGCAGTGTTTTGATCAGCTTCTGATCACTGCCTTCTGCGCTGTAGCTCAGACGGCTTAAAAATGTAAAAATGATCTGAAATAGTGTTTCCAATGCTCAGAAATGATGTCTAAAGAATTGTATTCTCGATGTGATCTGTTCAAAATGTCTTTTTTACATATAATACATAATCTGAAGGCAGCATGATATGACCTAACGCTGACCCATCTGTATATCAAAATCAGACATACATGAACATGCACAAAAAAGCCCAATTCAAGTCACAAACCACACCAAAAACGACAACAAAAAAAGAATTGTAAGACAAGAGATTCACATGAATTCAGTTTTGAGGATGTAGTTACAACAGAAACAATGCTAAGTCAAATTTGATGTCTTACTGCTTCCCTCTAAATGCACCATAAGAAGGACCCGTGAGTACAGCTTATGATTAGGATCTGTCTGATTTCTAATTATTGATAAACATTTGCAGATTTAATTCTAATCATTCAGATGCTGGACCAAAAACAGTGGTGTCGTGATTGTATGTGTGTGTGTGTATATATATATATATATATATATATATATACATACATACACACACATAGACAGGTATAGTTTTTTTAAATGTATAACATACACAGGAGTAGGTGACCATCTCTTTTTAAAATTTATGTACTGTTATTATTAAATTAATTCAATTACATGAAGTGTAAAAAAAAAACAAAATGACCAAAACAAAAGAATAGCTGAATTTCCTCTCGTTTCAAGCGCAAAGATGTAAAAGAAAAAAAAAGCGAGCAAAGACACGAAATACTTAAAGCAAGAATATTGACGAAAAAGATTTAGCCAATCTACTGACAGTGAGGCTCATTTCCATAATTGAAGGGTGAAAGGTCAGAGTCCGTTTGGAAGCATTGTTTAGGCAGAATAATCATTAACAGAAAATTATTGCTATTGCTTTTCTCCTTTCTGAAAACATCCTTTCTCGACAAAATGCACGTCTCTCTGACATTCTGTTTGTGGCAAAAACACAGCAAATTAAAAAATTAGCAAAGAAAAAGTAAGAATATGAATGTTTAAATAACACTATTACCAGAGTATGTATTATTTTCATTACATCTTAATAATAATAACAATTATTATTATGGCGATTTGTAGTAGTGGAATTTTTGAAAAAAAAAAAATAAGCAAAAGAAATTCTTGCAAGCTCAAGTAAATGTATGACACAAAACCATTTTATATACAATTATAAATGCACACACACATACACACACACAGAAATTCACAAAGACAATTTAAAAAGTAACTATGGTATAATGAGTATATAGAGTAGAGTATTTAGGTAAAATATACTAATTCATAGTATTATATTCATTATTGTAAATAGTTTCTAATAATTTAAACATATTTTCACAAGTTAGTTTTTATGTGAAGTCTAGTAAAAGATTTACGCTACAGTTTCTGAGTGTGAGGGAGAAAGAGGGAGCGTGTGTAAGGGAAGAAGAGTGAGAACGCATGAGAGAGTGTCTAAGAGAGAGCTGTATTGATTCTCCTATAGCATGAGAGAAAGGAAGGCATTTTGAAAAATCCAATGCGTTTTCATCCCCTTAAGAGTCTTCCTTTACTCAAATGCAAATATGAAGCCCAGTGGAATCAATAGGGGGATTGTAGACTTTGAATCATTGTATCCGCTATCTTGGTGTGCAATCTTTGGCATGCTAACTGAAACCACTAATCTTGGCATATTATATCAGATAAAGTTTTCGAGCTCTCAACTGATTCGGAGAAAGACAGAGAGCGGAGTGCTGGGCTGAGAATAGAGCAATTACAAACTCCTCATTCTTTAACATCTTCAAAATTCATTTAAAGAGTGACACGCCGCCATGAACCAATCTCAGAAGAAGGTAAAGTTACCTACTTTTTTTCTTACTTATGTAAAGAAACCTACACAAAATCTGTCAGTCCACTTTCATACTTACGCAACCTTTTATTAAACACAAATAATTCTCTGTTGTTTACAAGAAGGAAAAGCACAATTAATTGCTAGATTGATAAAGACAGCTCTGCAGGTTGTGAATATCAAAGTGTTTTTTTTTTTTCTCGCTCCTTTTGTGACGGCCTGACAATGAGACTTCACCCTGTGACCTCTGACTGTTGAAGCAGCTCAATTTTAACATTAAGACTTCCTGACAAAGGCTCACTTGTGACACTGTTTGAATTCTCTGGCGAGTAGGGTACTCTAATCCGTGTCCTTTCTGGGATTCTATAACTTTGTCGTCTTCTACGCCAACCCCCCCCTCCTACCTTCATTAAAAGCATTCTTGTAAGTGTTTAAGAGAGCTTGGAATCTTTAAGAGAGAGAGAGATGAATCGCCATAGGTCCAACCCAAGCAGGAGGAAGGCAATGAGGATGCCTGCTGGTTTTAACAATGTTAAGAAATTCCTGTGCGAATGACACTTTTTTTCCATTGCGCCTCTTTTCTTTTTTTTTCACTCTCAGGGCTTTTTCTCAGCACTGTTTTCATTGACAAATCTCTCTCCTCGTTTTGTTTTTTGGTTCCACTCACTGGCTGACTGAACTTACTGCTGCTGCAGAGAGAAAAGACGGAAGATGAGCTTAGTAGGATGGAGGAGAGGATGGAAAGAAAGGGTGGCACAGAGAAACAGAGACAGAGATGGCTTTCCTAACCTCTGCCCTGATGGTACAGTAACCACTCTATGCCCTTCTAAACAGAAGGGGCTTTGTCGCCATGCACAGATGTGGCGCAGCCAAAACATTAACGATTTGTTTGCGCAGGCCCCGAGATACGGTATTTGGTGACGGCACTCTGACCGCCAGGCTTATGCTGCATCCTGTTGCCCGGCCGCCCTTAATTGGGGAATCATATTTATCTGCACTCGAAGGACTGAACTGTAATTAGTAGACAACTGCATCTGAGAGCCGAACAAGCCGCCTCCGTTTGGCGAATCACTGTCTTTGCCCTATCATTGTGGGTGGTCCTCTGAGACCTTCACCAAATGGTTAAAACAAAAAACAAACATGGCCCCTCTGATGAGCTCTAGTGCTTCACAGGGCATTTGTTCCTTACTACATTTCTCTCATGCATTTGTTTCCACACATAATTTATAATTTCATAAGTCTCATCTCACAGCACAAAAATGTGTGGCTGCTTTTTATCAATTGAGATGACAAAATCAAAACAAATCACTAATAAAATCTCCACTACAGTAAGAAGTCGTGTATTGTCCAGTCCAGATTTCTAAAGCAAAAATCAAGCCATTGCATACATGCTGTGAACAAAGCAATGTGAAGAGCAAATAATAAAGTTTTCAATGGGTAAAGGGGTCTTCTAGGGGTATATGATAAGTAATCTAAGATTAATAACTTTCAAAAAGAGCAAGCAAGTGTCCAAAGAAGAGACAGAAAGAAAGAGAGAGGGACAATGTGTTTGAATGTGTGCATGTGCTTGTGTATGTGTGTGTTCTAATAGTCCCTTCGGCCCCGGGGGGGCTGCGCTCGCAGACTGAGGCCAGCGGAAGCGGCTGCCGAGATGAAAGCCCGTCACTGTTAACACTTTCGAGGACGGCTGTAAGCCTGTCTGCCAAGGTCAATGGCACACATGTACTAATTGTATTATGAGCTTGACATCCAGCGGCCACCCCTGGCAGGGGCCGCCCAGGCAAAGGTTAAGTCAGCACACGGTATCAAAGCTCTTCCAAAGAGCCACCCTCAGGGTGGGGAGGGTGGGGGAGAGCAGGGAGGTGGCCCAGGGCGGCAGGGTAGGGGGCTGGTGGGTGAGAGGCAATCCCTTGTTGGCACGGCATGAGCTCCCACCTTTTCAGGGGCTCCACACAAAAGGGTCCTATTAGCCAACATTTGACAACAATGTAAACTCCCGACAAAAGCCAGACAAACAACAAAAAAGTCAAATCTGGCTTCTGAATACTGAGGGAGACACAGGGCTCAACGGCTAGGAGACACAAACAGTGTTACAAACCTGCAGGTGACCGATTTATTGTAACATAAATGTAAATGTGTTCCCTCCAAAAAAACTAACATGGCCTAAAATTATTGTTCTGTAAAATCAGCAGGACTGTATAAGAAACGATGCTGCCTAAGGATAAAGTCTAGGCCTCAGCTTTGTCATCTAATCGCACTGCGCTGTTCGTAAGCCCAGCAATGCGCTCACTGTCATTGGATTACTGATCTAGTCAAATTAATCAATGCTTATGTATGCTATTTCAGTACAATAGGCGACATGCTGTGTGCTTTGTTTTACACTATGTCGTGCACGGCACAGGTGCATGCGTGTTTGGCCTGCAGACCTATGTGCTTCAGGTTGTGCTGTTGGAGAAGCAGTAAAAACTGCAGTGCTCTCTATGCGCCACCTTCCTGAATGTGCTGCATGCAGGGCAATCAAGAGGTCTGCACAAATAAAACTGTAGGCTCACTTTTCATGCCTGTACTTTACACAAAAGGCCACTTTGGTGTGAATACAAGAGTGTGAAAAATGACATGACTTTTAGGGATTTTAGGTATCGCTGTATATCCTCTGTCTTCTTGCTATATCTTGCTATATAAATAATGCTTTCGCTTTTGGATCAGTAAGCACCACGTTGCCCACTGCAGTAGGTCGAGCAAGCAAAAAGCGCCACTCTGAGCTGAGAGTGTCAGCCTGTCTTTTAAAAGCTATCAATACGGGTTCCCTCGATTTTGTAGCCTTGTCAGCATCACGGCTCACAAACAGCCTTAGCAATTCTGCTCGGGACGTTCGATATTTAAACCAATGACAAAATACAAGCAAACTTCCCTTAGAAGGACATTTGAAATCGTCTTGATATCTTCCTGAGTTCTTTCACTTATATGAATTAGTAGTGGGCTTGCTGCTCTGCCTAGCACTCCTCAGCAAGGTGTGGTGTAGATGATGTAAATTTCAAAATGAGAAAATGGAGACCTTCATACTGCTGCTACAGTAAAAAAAAGAGGTGTTTTAAAAAGTATAATGAGCTAATTTCCAATATGCCCACTTAAGCCTAATTCTGATTTAAATAAACTATAATTATAATAATAATAAAAATGGTTCAACAGGACGCAAATGTGGCATTCTGCTCATGTGCATAAGCTGGACCTTTCTTTCCTCATCTCTGTTTGCCACCATACAAGAAAAAATGTGTCTAGCATGAGCAGACTAAAATTATCAAATGCAGTGCAGCTCTGCAGCAGTGACCCTCGGCCCACTATGTGATAAAGCTATGATGGAAAATAGACAGAAATTTAACAAAGGGTTAAGGAAAGATTATTTTAAGATTGTTCCACTGAGCAAAATTTAAGCTTGAAACTACTTTGTCACAGGTTTGCTCCACTTCCAAATTAGTATTTAGGGTATATCAGAAACAGAAATATTTAATTCTATGGATTTTTAAAATACACTCAATATTTCATGATGATTTAGGAATATTTCAGTAAAATAGTTCTGCTTGGCTCAAGTGCTTCAGGAGACGTGCGAAATTGGCCATTAATATTTATTTAAGAAATGTGCAATTATGAAGAAAAGCAATGCAAATAATAATAATAATAATAATAATAATAATAATAATAATAATAATGAGAAGAAGAAGAAGAAGAAGAAGAAGAAGAAGATGAAGAAGAATACAAAATCTAAAATACCTGTAATATATTTCTAAATTTGTCCACCACACCTCAACAAAGCGAAGCCGTTTTTTAACCTGCGAAAATGATACTAAAATGTTTTTAATTATAACATTTCCGTGAATGAAATATTTGATCATATTCGTCATTTTTGCGAGCGCAGCACACGTTTCTGTGTCTTTTCTTGGACAATCTACACGGCAAATGCACCTTATTTTACTGCCCGGTAGGAAGCGAGTGAAGTGGGGAAATGTGGATGTCCCGAAGTAAACAGAGAGAAAAAAACATTTCCATGACAAAAAGCGAGGCTGCGGCTTTAGTTCCTCGGCAATATGCAATGCAATCGTCTCCTTTCCGAGCGGCACAATGGCCATCTGTGAGGACACAAGAGCGACTGCCTCAGTGTGGAAGAGCTGTTTCTGCCTTTCTTTCTGTCTTTTCTCTCTTTTCTTTTTGTGTTAGTTTAGTACTTAGCTTAGCACGCATGGTGCTGAACTCTTTAAAGCACTCAGCCCAAACGAGAACAAGAAACCTAATTGAAAATTTCCCACGAAACAAATTAAGAAAAGCGAGTTTGCCATTCAGTTACTACTGCGCCCAAAACTCTCAGCACGAGCTGCATTCTAAAACAAATGTAGCAAATTATTATTTGAACGAGCATTTCAAGGATGTTTGGAAGTTAATTTCGGCATGGATCGCATAAATTGTTCAATTTTAATGTAAGCAGAGAAATAACACCATGCTTCCTCCTGAAACTGCACCAACTCCAAGAGAAATAATCTTGAAATGTGATTTTATTATTTTAGATGAAATAATTAGGCGTCTGTTTTATTTAATTATAGCAGCTATTTCTGATTCACACTTGTACGTTTATTTAATGTTATTTTTAACCCACTCCGAGAACGAACTGCACGGTTCAAGTGAGTGGATCCTCCACCAGCAATGCTGCTAAGTGTTTGATGGATTTCCGAGAGCCACCGCTTATGGCAACCCAGCTCAGTCTAAGTTTCGCCCACAGTTTCTCTATGAGGCGAAACGTTTCACATCCAAAAGGGTTCGAATACATTTTCACACGCTAAAACGGAGCACCTGTCCTCTGATAAAAGGCTTGAGCCAAATAAATAAAGATAAAACGGCGAAGCTGCCCGTGTAGCTTAACTTCAACTTCATTACACGAACTGCTATCTAGCCGGGCTGAAAGTGAAGCTGGTCGTCTAAGTTCAGGATAAAAGAGTACAAGTGTTTCAGAAATGGTTCAGAATTGGTGTACAGGTCGTACTTTTTGATTAGTCAAGTTGGAAGAACTGAGCAGCGGATTTGATTCTGTGAGGCAACAAACGGCGACAAAAAACAACAACAAAAAAAAAAAGTTCACTCCTCAAGAAGTAAGACTGGGCACCAGTGTGAACCTTTACTGAAACACTTATCCTTTGAGGAGTGAACTTGGAAGAAGTGAAGAGCGGATTTGATTCAGTAACCAAACAAACACTAACAAAACCCGTCTTTTTTCCCTCGTTCACTCGTTCAGGGGACGAAAAAAAGAGCCATTCGGAGACCTACCGTTCTGAGAAAGTCCCCCCAGGTCTGAAGGCTCGTCCTCGGACTTGAGGTGCTGCGGCTTTGCTTGCTTCCGACGGGACATTGCTGAGGACACGCTGCCACTCCAGCTCCTGCTGTTGGCACATACATCAGCAGCGAGGAGGGGAAAAAACACACACACACGCGCGCGCACACACACACAGAACGAAATGAAACCCCACCAGCACACACACGCACACACGCAACGAAATGTTCACAAATAGTCGAGTGGCGCAAGAAAAAAAATGAGGGAAATTAGCTGGCGTTGGTGCTGTGTGGACTGCGCATGGTCGGTATGTAATTATGATGGTGAATAATAATGTGTGAGAGGGGGGGACTGGCTGAGGGCCAGCGGACACGCCGCTTATGGTAATGAGGGACGGACTTAGCAATTAGCTGCTTCACCCTCAAAAACTATCTGTCTCTCTGTTCTCCTCCGCCTCCTCCTTCTCCTCCACCGCCGCCTCCTCTTTCTCCTGCTCCACAACACCCCAAAAATCCCGTGTTACACACCAGCAGCGGTCGAGGGGAGAGGGGGGCGTCTCTCTTCTCTCTCTCTTCAGTCCAGGAAGGTCAGCTTCTTTCCTTTTTTCCCTGCGCGGTTTCGCCTCGCCGCTTTGTTTTTGCTTGTTTGCTTGCTCCACATAATTCTCCACAGCTGACTGAGGGGGTTAGCTTAGCATAGCTCAGCCGCGGCGCGGGGTCTCTTTTCTCCCCTCTTTTTGAGAACTTTTATCCCTTGAAAAATTGCAAAAAGTGGCCGCGGGGGCTGCTCAGTGTCCCTTCCTTCCTCCCTCGTCCACCTTTTTGGCGGCTCTAGGCTTCATTTCCTCGGTCCAGAGAGGGAAAGAAGTGGTGCTGCTGTATTCCCCTAAAAAAAATCACCAGAAAAAGCTCAAACGCTCGCGGTTGCCTTGGAGACGCCAAACGTTCGCTCTCTCGCGTTGTTTTGGTTCCCGCGCGTGCTACTGTTATTGTTTTGTCTTGTTCTAAGGTAAAAAAAAAACGCCGAGAGGAAGATTAGAGCTGGACAATGTCTTTAGAAAAAGTTTGTGAAAGTAGCCGGACGAAGAAGAGACGACGTGTCCTCCGTCCACCGTGAGACTGTGCTGTGGAGTTGCTCGTTTTTCGCGGCCGAGGCCAAAAAACAGAGAGAGAGAGCGAGCGAGCGAGCGAGCGAGAGAGAGAGAGAGAGAGAGAGAGAGAGAGAGAGGGTGACAGTTAGACCTGGAAGCAGCGTGACTCAGTCCTCAGTGGCTCACTCGTTCATAAAAGAAGAAAACAGCACAAAAAAACAGCATTTTTGTAGCCGTCGTCCCGTTCAGCTTCAGCACAGGCGGTGAAAGTAAGTTTGGACGAGAGAGAGAGAGAGAGAGAGAGAGAGAGAGAGAGATGACGGTTAAGCCTGAGAGCAGCGTGCTTCAGTCCTCATTGGCTCGTTGGCTGCACGTTCATAGAAAAACTACTGAAAAGCACAAAAAGCGAAACAAGCGAGTATCGTATCGCTGCGGTGTCGCGTTCAGCTTCAGCCCGGGCGGTCAAAGTAAGTTTTGAAGAGAGATATGACGGATAAGCCCGAAAGCAGCGTCCACTATCCCTCCACCATTCATTCACAATCATCGAAGAAGGAAAAAAAAACGCCGTGCAGTTTTAGCCGTTGATCTCTCGGTTCAGCTTCAGCGAGGGTCCTCAAAGTTACGGCGAGAAGAGAGAGAGAGAGGAAGAGAAGGAGGGGGAGAGAGACAGAGAGAGAAAGACAGGGAGAGAGAGAGATGAGAGGGGTCCGTGGCCGCTGGCGCTCGGCTCCGTGTGAGTGCAGGTTTGAAGCCTGAGGGGCTTTAAGTGCAGCCCAGTGCGAGCAGCGGCCGCGCGGACGAACTGCATCGAGTCGCCGCGAGACACGCGGGCGCTCTGCTTTTGGACTTTTGAAGCTGTATAGTGCAACATGCATTCGTGCATGTGTGCATTGGTGCACGCGGGCGCTGTTGTTGCATTAAAACTAGTAAAGTTAATTCAGCATAAATGTGATGCACATTCTGACAGCTTGACAGGAAAAAGGCGCATGTTTAAGTTTAAGACAGCGGATTAGAAGCGTATAGGCTATACATTAAAATGCAGGTTAACTTGCATGTGCATGTGTTGACTCCCTGCGGAGAGATTACAGCCGGTGGTCATTCCATGTGAATGGTCTCGGCTGCCACAGGAAATGTCTGCTTTTTAGGCGCAACAATAATAGTTGATTCGCATTTAAATGTTGCGTTTAAATTTGGTCATGAATACAAATTCCACACGCGTTGCGTTGCAATTCCTGTTTTCTAAAAAAGCCTGATAATTAATAATGAAGATTTTGCTGGCTGTAAATAGGAAGGTTCAATTTAGCATTCTGAAGTATATGCATTCCCTCAAATTGCAAATGCATGAGAACCTTAAATAAACACGTGTGTGAAAATTAAGGCTGTTTCCATGGTCTGACTTTTTTCTTTCCTTACAGTTGATTTCGAGCCTTTACAGTCGCAAACAGCACGCGCAAAGCCAAGCAAACGTTTCTCGACCGTGCTTATTGTGTAAGGTAAAGCCAGCATGCATGAAGCATCACTCTGCGCCTTTGCTGCTCGCGAGACGTGACACGTTCCTGGACAGCAAGGTCATTGTGTGCACAAACTTTTACACCCCCTCCCCTCCTTCCCCCACCCCTGCACCCCTCCATCCCTCCATCCCCTCTAAGTTATGTCCAAAAAGCCTTGTTATTATCTGGTATTAATAGATGCAGCCCCAGGAAAGACAAAATCAGCTATTGATAATTGCAAGGAGTATACCCAGGCTACTGTATCGATCGGCTTGTCCTCCACCTCCCCTGCTATAGAGAGATAAGAAGACACTCTCTTTAGTGCAATATAATTTCTTTTGACCTATCTGCTTGCTACAGCCTTATGATGAATAGCTGGAGTGGCTAAAGTCCTTTATCACCAAACTTGGCCCCTTGATATAATATTGATTCTTTATAACAAGCTCGACACACACACACACATACACACACACACGCACGCACGCGCGCGCACGTCCACAGACACACACCAAAAATCAAACTGTCCACTTGGCCATCATCATCATCAATATCATCACAAAAGGAGCCTGGAATGAGCTGCTTCTGCCTCTCTAAAGGGCTTTTGGGCTTTTTTTTAACAATCTCCCCTCTAATCTGTATTTCGCTGATGATGAAAGGGAAAGAATGGAGAAAGGAAGGAGTAACAGCTGATCCAATAACATGGAGGGAAGAGGAGAAAAGGACAGTTAAACAACAAAAAGGCGACTTAAGGAGCTTAGCAGCAAATGGAAAATTATTTTCAGGGTGGGTTTGTGACAAAAAGGGCTATTTTTAAGGCGTATTTTTGAATATTGAGTGTAAATGGGCCTATACATGGACTCATTTCAATCGAAGTAGGCCTATGTAATAATGTAAACATATGTATTTCTAGTAAATAAATAAAAGAAATGTGGACATTTGGTTTCATTTAAAAAATGTGAATATTAGGCACATTTTTAACACTTAGAGTCTCTGGAACTTTGTTTTTAAGGATAAATAATTTGTTGGAGTAAAAAAAAAATCCTCCAGGATAATTTCAGGAAAAGGGAAAGAGTTGAACACGGATGGATATTCAGCTCGGTTTCCTCTCTACACCACACCCCCTCCATCCACAGCAGTCCGATTCTCTCCTTCTCTCCTTTTCTCCCTCTCTCCCTCTCTCCTTCCCTCTTTCTCTCCTGCTGGTGGGAAACGTTCAGGCTCCTGGCTTTTCCTCGCCGTCTTCGTGCTATCGCGAGATTAAAAACCAACGCCAAACGTGTTTCCCGCGAATCGACCGCGCCAATGTTTTTGTTTTTCCTTTCTAGAGCGGGAAGCGTGTCTCGCGAGGACGCCTCGGGACGCAGGTAGTGTTGATGCACGTGATCCAAAGCTGGATTTCGGACAGACTTAGCTGGATAACTTCAACCCAAAGTGAAGCCAGTGAGAATGTACTTTACACTCTTGAAAAAGATGGTTCTTCAAGGGTTCTTTAGTTAAGGGGGTTCTATGTAGAACCATTTCATGCTCGAAATGGTTCTTTTCATGACGAAATGGTTCTTCAGATTGATGTAGAATGTGTTGTATATGGTTCTGTATGGCATCAAAAGGGGGATCAATATCAAGCTTGTAACAGTAGCAGAACTCTTCTGGTGCTATATAGAACCATTTTAAAAAATGTTCTATTTAGAACCATATGTAAGACATTCTCCATCAATCTGAGGAACCATTTCTCCATGCAAAGAACCATATAAGCAAAACCCTTTCCTTTACACTAAGAACTAAAAGCCGTCTTTTTCAAGGGTGTAGCTCGACTTTGGGATTAAGTTATCTGGCTTACTGAGAAATCCCATGTGACAGTTTGGATTTGTTTCAGCACAGATGTGTTGTCTCTGCACGGGACAGGGTGGATTCAGGTATTGTGGGACGTCTTGGGTCTTTATGGGGTATTTCATGAAGCAGGATTGTTCTGTTAGCTGAATAACTTAAACTCAAGTGAGAAGAGGCTAATAAGCATGTGCTCTGCTACCGGACCGTCCTTTGACTTACCTGTATGGCTGAGCAATTCTGCTTTGTGAAATAGCCTCCACCCTTTTGCCCTGAATAATGGGAGGGCATTTAAGAAACTCTGGTTTATTCCTATTTTACACTAATGTGTAATAAATGAGTAAAAGTCCTACTGTATTAGGCTGGAAAATTAAACAAAGAATGCTGTTATCGTTGTGGGAGCTCAAGCTGCATGTTGCATGTTACCATATTTATGCAGTCACCTGATGTTCCATAACACCTGAATTCACTCTCGGAACAGTCATACCTGCTATTATCTGTGGCATAACTAGGATGTTGGGGGACCCAGTGCTTAAAACAAATGAATTAAAAGTTATATAAAATGGCCCACCCCAACCCACCCAAATGAAAATTACCTTCAGTGAATTAGAAAAAAAAAATGATAATGTAATTTGATTTTGCCATGTCTTAACCAGGTGGGTGCACTAATGTCAGCTAATGCTAGACATACGTGCGATATATGTAAATAGCATAGATACAGAGCTATAAGGGGTACTAGACAGCCATACTTGGCCCCCCACTCAAAGTTTCCAGTGTGATTGGCCCACCTCCACTGCTAGTAGTTATGCCACTGATTATCAATAATTAACATGCAATGTAATAACTCTTAACAATGGTGGATACCGTGATCTTCTAATGTAATTCTTCATCCTGCTATAGGCCACTTACAATGAAAAGATAACAGCTCATATAGTATTCAACAATATGAGTTCCTTCACTACCCCTTCAAAGACCTCCCCAGTCATACTCACTGGCCCAGGCGAGCATGAATGGAGCATTTTTAGAGTATGACCTAACCCTCATCTTCTGGTTGAGTCATCAACAATCAGACTAGATATAACAGCTTGTTGGAATGACGATAGCAACAGCAAGATTGCTGGGTTTGCAGATGCTGAACTGCTGCATGTTGACGGATGGAGCGGTCAAAGGGCCGCAATGAGCCTTTGCTAAAAGCTGATCTGTTCCGTGTCGTGCACGGCCAAGGGCTTTTGTCTTGAACCGAGTCTGTTTTTAAGTAGGACTTTAAAGGCTGCTTTGAGAAAGGCTGATGTTTGTCTGGCACGTTCAGATTTGTTTGTCAGTGGATTCAGTGAAATGGATAATGGATTTCCTTCGCGGTGGTTTCTTCTGCGTCTTCGTCATGTAAATTCTGCGCTGTGCTCAGTGTTGCAAGATCAGTGAGCTATTACACACACACACACACACACACACACACACACACACACACACACACGTCCAGCGTGCTCTGCTGCAGCTTGCCACCAGCAGTGGGTTGAAAGCGTGCTCGGGAGCCAGACTGTAAAGAGGAGGGAGCCAGGCCAGAGGAATTGTAGACACGCTAGCTTTCTCTCTCTGTCTCTCTCTGTCTCTCTGTGTCTCTCGCTCAGACGCAATATACAGGCTTGCTTTGCTTGCGTACAATACTGTCCAAAAGTCAGAGATCATCTATTGTTTATTTCTTTTCTGCCAACACAGCCAATTAAGTACAAGCTGTTC